TCTGTCCTAAAGTTGAAGACTGCATTGGTATTAAATATAGAAGGGACAGGAAGCAGAGGGCAGGAAAAACCAGTTCTTACTGCCCTTGCTAACCTTTCTGGAGTGTTCAAAGGCCCTGAAATCAGCCCTGAGATTGTCACAGTCTTTATGAATGAATGCTGATTGGTGGCTTGTGAGTTCGTGGTATTGTTATATCACTTTTTGTTTTCTTTCCCTCTCTTCCATGGTAACTGCCTTGCTTTGAGACTGTTTTTGTTTTTTTAAAGAAAGATTTCATTCAATACGCAGTTGCTGAAGGCCAGACACAGACACAGTACTTGCCCCTGGGCGCACTCGGTATAAACAACCTGCTATGCAGTTCACTCTGGTATGCTATTGAATCTGAAAGTCAGCGCTAGATGAAGAGGAAAGCCCTAAATAAGGCTGCTTGGCAATGAGTGGCCTCCTCCCTCCATCTCCACCCCTTGCTTGACTCCAGCCAGGGATGCCCATTATACCCTTAGCCACACTGCAGATCCCTTGGATCAAACAAGGCGTCTTCCAAGAGCTCAGATGGAGTGTTAACCACCCTTGTCACTGATTCCCAAGCTGACTCTTTCCCTTCCAGTTGCCCCCAGATTAAGGGGCACGTTTTCTTCTTGCAATTCAAATGCAGCTTATATACAGTGAGCACACAAGTCACAGGAGTGCAGACAGACATCCTTAGATAGCTAGACACGCATGTGACCTTTTCCCAGACAGACATGGCGTCCCTATCCCAGAAGGGGCTGAGTGTCAGTGGCACGAGTCTGTGAAGTGTAGTTGGGAGGTCCTTCCCAGTTTGTGCCTTCACCCTTACCCTTCTCAGGTAATAATGGGAAGGGGATAAGACCCACCCCATCAACACAAGATGGCAGATATAATGTACCACATCACAAGTCCATTTCCTTGTCTCTTACATATTTGATACTGTGTGGACTTGGCCAGGTTCTTTCTGTCATGGCCTTCATGACAGAGTCTAAGGGAACAAATGAAGCGAGACTTCTGCCCACAGGTTTTTGCTGTCTGAACTGGAATCCACATTTTTCATCCTCCACTGGTGCTTAGAGCCTCCCAGGCCTGACTATTATGGGCAGAAGATTTTTGTGAATATTAATGAGTCTACCATCTATTTTAGGTATTGGTACAAACTGTCCTGATCCTCTGCAGCCGCGGATGGATCATAGTCTTCAGGGTCACCAACCTGGCCTGCTGTGCCTAGACCTCCAGTCCCCTGTTAAGGATCACACTTCCTTGGTGTGCACTTTGGAAAGCTGGCGCCTACTGCTTTCCTGGACATTTTCATTTCTCTCTACGTATGTTACTTAGAATTTAATTGGAAGTGCTGCAGATGTAGCTTGCTGGCTTAGCTCATGCAAGGTCCTGGGTTCTAGTCTTGGCACAGCAGAAGAAGCAAAAAATGGAAAAAGTGCAGCTTCTCTTTGGTTGGGTTCAGAGTCCAACCGTTAGTTGTTAACTGCGAGAGGAATCGTTTTCCTTCTGGGATATTAACTTCTAGTTGACTCTTCAGACCCAGCCGCTGTTGGTCTCCCACGTACATGCCCAAGCTCATCTCTTAGCCGCCTCTTATGGGTTGGTCACCCAGAGTCCTGTCAAAATTCCTCACCACGATTTTATAAATAATTGAATTTCATACACGGACAGTTAAGGAGATCTGTGTTGAAGACTTTTGTTCATATTTGCTGTTATTTATTTTGTAAATTAAAAATGGAAATGTATTTTAAAGTTTACTATGTGTTTAGCTTGTTCTTGGTTTTAGATGATTAAAATAAGATCATGGACTTAATGGTTCTTCCCTGTTGACAGCTTCTTCAAGACACTTCACCCTCAGGGCCCCCTCTGGCTTATCTCACGACAGAGCCTGTTGGAATGCATACTGTGGGATCCCGGTGTCCGTCTTTCACAGAACTAATAAAATCTGCAAGCTTTTCATTTCTTTTTGCCCCGCCCACCCATGCATTTTGTTGTCTGAGCTGAGTTTTCTGAAGAGAATGTCTTTCATGTGTACAGGTTTTATGTGTGTTCTTCATGGATAAATAGGCACGGGGAAGTGGGGAAAGAAAGTAAGAGTAGCTAAGCTGGCCCAATTGATCTTACTTTTAACAACTAATAATGCCCTATTATCTGAGTGTCAGAGGATCTTACCCTATGTGCTTATGAAAAATATAGGTGGCTTTCATCCCGAGGCATGAGTGAATGTTAGGCTTGGTGCATTCAGATTAAGAAATTCTACTTTTGTCTGCTGTCAGAATCTTTTGAGTGTTATTACACTTGTATAATTAATATACAATTAATATACATATATTTTGAGGTACACTGAGGTGTAAAGTCTTCAGAGGGAACAATCTGATATTTAGTAAGGGTAATGATTTTACTCTTCTCTACTCCACTTGATCTTTGGGGCCATCCGTGGATTAAGTGGACCCAATAGACTTGCAAACTGCCATGTGCCATCCCAAGTCTATACCAGCAACAGCAGCTGAATGATCACATTTTTATCCCATGCAGAGAATTCGTTGCCTGCTCAAAAAAAAAAGTTCCCTAGAGATGGTGTTTGACAGCAGAAACTCAATGCTCCAAACACATGTATAAATTAAGAACGTCTGTTGCTTTTTAAAAAAGATATGTTTGTTAATAGCAAGTTTGAGGCCAGTTTGAGCAACATGAGACTGTCTCAAACAAACTTAAACATTCATGAAGGATGGTAGACTTTCACTTGCCAATCACGGTATTTTTTAAATATAATCGAGTTCACAATATTCCATGGGCATTTGCTGAAATTTGAGTTTTTCCATTGTTTCCATAGCTACCTGGAAGTTTGTGAGACTCGTGTTCACATCATGAAGTTGCCACAGTAGAACCAAGTTGATGATGAGCCCCAGTTTTCTGTTTCCGTTCCAACAGCCAAACTCTCCCATAGCTCAGCTTCGTTGGATGTTCTTTCCTCTGCAGTTTAGGGAGTGGTGAGCGCAGATCCATCAGAACTGAGTGGGTCTCCTAAACCCTGAGCCTCAGCTTCATCACCTTAAATTGAGGACAGTCATGGTTTCCCAGCTTGCTTGAAGATAATCGTGCATGTACATCTAGCATAAAGCCTGACTTTGTCCTTGTGGGGGCCGAAAGGTGGTCCAGGAAACAAGGGGACACCAGGTTCTGTCTCCAGCGGACTATGCACACTTCTGTTTCTTAAGTTAAATTCAAAAGTTCTCAGGAAGGAAAGCTGTGTAGGCCATGGTCCCTGCTACGGTTAGCATGCAGCGTGTCCTAAAGAGTCACATTCTGGAAGCCTGTTCCCAAAGCTGTCACACCTTAAGAGGTGGGTCTTAGGGTCATGGTGAGAGCACCCTCAAAATGAACTAATGGCTGTCTCATGAAAGTGGGTCAGGTCCTGGGAGATTAAATCAATTACCGTAAGAAGAGGCAGTTATAAAGTGAGACCACTCAGTGTTTGGCATTCTCTGTGAACATCCCATTCCACCATGATGTGTGATTCCATGGCATGATACTGTCTGCCAGTTTATGATACAACGTAATGAACATGGCCTCCCAAGTTTGGACAACTTGCCTCCAAAACTATGAGCCAAAAGAAACTACCTTTCTTTATCAAGAACTTAGCCTCGGGGATTTTGTTATAACAATTGAAAACTGAAATAGTTTTGAACCCCATACCACCTGGCAAGACAATATGGAGCCAGAAGGAGCACTGGACTGGGAGCCCAAAAGGCTCGCTCCTCTCCTTTAATGGGATTCTACCTGACTTCAAGAGGTAAAGGGAAGCAGTTCTTCCCAGCAGCGGGAAGCCATGGCCGTAGGGGCATCTGACTTTTAGAGAAGGTCAAAGATGTAGTTATAATCCTATAGAAACCATGGGAACTAGCTAGCCTCAACCATCGATGACCACTCTCTTCCCTTTGTGAATGCAGGGTGGATGTGAGCCATGGATTATGTCTCTTGGTCAACAGGACACTTTATGTCATTGTGGCTTCTCTCCTATCTACCGCATGTCCTCACCTAAAGACCTTTACCCACCCCATCACTGCCCCTGCCACCTGTGGTGGGCGGGGAGCTGGGAGCTGAAGACCCCTTACCAGCTGTAGCACTCAGGCAAGTGGGCCCTGCATCTCTCCTGGGCAGCACTGGAGAGCTGACCCCATTGGCAGGAGCAGGTGAGCTGCCCCTGAGAACATGAGCATGGGAGAGCTGGCCCTGAGGTCATCAGAGCTGGAGAGATGTCCCGACCCCACCCTTCCTCCAGCTGCAGAACTCGGGATAGTGGCCACTGCCCCTTGCCTGGGTAACACAGCAGAGCTGGCGTTGATGGTGCGGCTGTGGGAGAACTGAGAGCATGAAAGCAGAACGGGTCCCGCCCCTTGTTCATCTGGCAAAGGGTGAACTAGGCAGGACAGGGCTGGAGAGTTCACCCTGGTGGTGGAGGGAGCCGGCCAGAGAACCAGCCCTTTAACTACCCAGTCCCAGAACCAGGGTTATGAGTTGGCCCCAATATCCATCCCATCTGTGATTTGCAGGAGTATGTAAAGCTGCGGGATCTCCAACCCAGGCAACAACAGGATATCCAAGAAGCCTCCCAGTGAGGGCCCAGCATCGATAGGGTGACGGAAACCAGAGTCTCGAAACAGACAATGACTCTTTGCAATGAATAATTTGCAATAAAGATGCATGGACAAAGGGGTTTACTGCGTGACTCACTATGTCACACTAGCATCCATGATGAGATTTTTTTTTCCTTTTTTCTCTTAAATTTTGTTTTATTGGGAGGGGGGAAGGGTAGAGGGCAGATATGGAAGGAACAGGAAATGAATGGGATGGAAATGCATGATGTGAAAGACACAAAAGAATAAAAAAAATTTTAAAGTTGCATTCTGAGCTTGGAGTCAAAGGCATGTCACTTTACAGTACTTGATCCACAACACATTGCTTTATTATGAAATCCATGCCGCTGGGCATAGAAATGCTGAAACACACAAGTACAGATCTATAACAGGTCACATTTTAAAATGTCCACGTCATACTTGGGTGTTGCGGATCCTTCGGGGCCAGTGCACTTACATCTTCTTCTGCCTGTTTTCCTCTTCGATCAGACTTTCCTGGAAAATACATAACATAGGCTTCAACATTGCATTGACTAGCTAGCTGAACGTCTTTTCTAACATTTATACATAACATGGTCACCAATGTCGGATTGGCTAGATAAATTTCATTGTTTCCTACATTTATTTTCTAAAACTCAGATCTAAGAACAGGTGCATTTGTTAGTCACTCAAAAGAACTAGAAACATGGCAGAGTCTTGTGGAGCTGATGCCACCCCAAAATCGGCATTAACCGCTAAAAGCCTGGCACGGTGAGACATTCTAAAATCCGCATTAACAGCTGAAGGATGTCACTGTGAGGAAGGATTTGGATCAGATCGGCCTTTCCTTGGAGTCCTTCATGATGTCACACCAGGGAATCTCAATTTGTTTTCATTGGGCTACAGGCAAGATTAGAACACGAAAGGAAATAGAGATACCTGCCTACCTTCATCTTTGTCCCCTGGGTATGGAATCTGAAGCCAATGGAGACAATTTTTTAAACTCAACCTGATCTTCAGGTGTGATTCACTGAGGCTCTCCGTGCTCCTCTGAGGAACTGGCAGTTGGCCGCATGCTTTCCGAGGACCGCTAATGAGCAGGAAAGCAGCTCAGGGAACACTGACACTCACTTCCAGGTTACTTCCCCATTCGGTCTCCTTCATACTTCTATTCTCACGATCAAGCAATCTTACAGCCTGAGTGATAACACACCCCTGTAATTGTAGCTTCTTTGGAGGCTGAAAAGAACCTCAAATTCAAGTCCAACTTCAAGTTTGAAGTCAGCCTGAGAAAGTTAGTGAGATTCTGTCTCACACAAAGAGATGTGTTTTTAAGTAGGAGGACGACTAAGGATATAACCCAGTGGTACAGTGCTTGCCAGCGTATGATCTTACCTGGGATGGGTACCCAGTACCGAGAGAGAGGAGAGAATGAGAACGGTGGGCATTTAGGCCTAACAAAACTGCAAGTCAGATCTGTGGCTCTGAGTTATAAATTTTGTAAGTTTTGAATATTGTAATCCCAAGTGGCGGAGTAACGGAGAGCCTTGTTCTTGGTTTCTACAGTTCCCGGGGTCCTGCAAGCAATGGCTGCATCAAGTGGAGGGTAGGAGTCTGCTCGGGAATGAGGAGCTGGGAGGTGGAATATTCTTTGGAAACTGGAGGATTACAGTGGAAAGAAACTTGCTGGCCATTCCAAAGGCTGAATCTGGGATTATTATATAAGGGGTATATAGACACGTTTAAATCAACTAAGAGCAAAGCAGTTTACAAACATGAGTGCTATCTGCACAGAGGGGGACACGCTGTAAGATACGGAGGGCCCTGCCGCAGGAGTGACTTGGGTGGCTCTGAAGTGTTGGCTTCCTGACTCTAGCTCTGTGCGGTGACCACGGTGACTCACCAGAGCTCCTCTCAGGTCCCTGAGGGGCGAGCGGGGCCAGTGGACAGTGCATTCGAAGTGCTGGGGTTCTGCCGGTTGATCCACCTCTTTGCCCATCTGCAGACAAAGAGTGAGATTCATAAAGATGAAGATACAGAAACAAAGCAGAGTTTTCCATTTCCACCAAGAGTGAGCACTGGGGGTCCTGAGGCTGAGCGGGAGGCCTGGGGAATTGTGGGTCTGGGGAGTTTAAGGATGCACTTTTAAAGAATGAGCTGGAGTTCAGGAGGTGATGGGGACAGTAAGAAAAGATCGTGCTCTCTCAGACGAGAGTGAAGTGTTCTGAGTCTCACAGACAGGATACAAAAGCTGCACAAGCTTTATAGTCCTGACTGGGCTGGGTTTCTGTTGTTTTTGTTGCTGCTCTCCTTTCATTTTATCTCAAACAGATTGCTCTGAGACTCAGTGTATCCTGGTCTAGCCTTGAACTGGTGGTGTGCTTGCGTATCGAATGACAAGAAGCGGGAAGATGAAGCCCACTGTGGGCAGCACCATTCCCTGGGTTTGGGGCCTGGGAAGGAAGCTGAGTACTAGGCCTGCATAGATTTACTGTCTCTGTTCTTGACTACCGGCATAACTAGCTGTTTTGAGTTCCTGCCCTCACCTCCCCACAGTGATGGACTCTCTGGAACTGTAAGTCACATAAACCATTTTTCCCTAAATGACGTTTGGTCAGCATGTTTTATTACAACAAAAATAAAACTGGGACAGAACTCTTCCTTTTTAGCCTCCAAAGGACAGTGATTATGGTGAGAGTATCATACCAGGGAGGACGGTGACTACGGTGTGAGCATCACAGCCAGGGAGGGTGGTGACTACCATGTGAGCCCCACACCCGGGGAGGACGGTGACTATGGTGTGAGCACCACACCCGGGGACGACGGTGACTACGGTGTGAGCCCCACACCTAGGGAGGATGGTGACTATGGTGTGAGCACCACACCCGGGGACGACGGTGACTACGGTGTGAGCCCCACACCTAGGGAGGATGGTGACTATGGTGTGAGCACCACACCCGGGGACGACGGTGACTACGGTGTGAGCCCCACACCTAGGGAGGATGGTGACTACAGTGTGAACACCACACCCGGGGAGGACAGTGACTACGGTGTGAGCACCACACCCGGGGAGGACGGTGACTACGGTGTGAGCCCCACACCCGGGGAGGACGGTGACTACGGTGTGAGCCCCACACCCGGGGAGGACGGTGACTACGGTGTGAGCCCCACACCCGGGGAGGACGGTGACTACGGTGTGAGCACCACACCCGGGGAGGACGGTGACTACGGTGTGAGCACCACACCCGGGGAGGACGGTGACTACGGTGTGAGCCCCACAGCCAGCAAGGCTGATTTTCAGTTTGCACCACATCCTAGTTCTGTGACATCTGCTTCACAAGTAACCTAGAGAGCGGAGGCTTCAGATTCTGGGGTTTCATTTTATCTTCAAAACTTGGTTTTAAGTTTCTCAGCTATGTTTCTTCTTTGGATAACCAGCTAATGAAATGGCTTCTCTCATGTAATTCCCCTATCCTTAAGTGAAGTTTTAAGATAAATGAAGCGTCCTACATTAATGCTGGTGCTAGCGCTGCAACCTAACCTAGAGGAAATTAAATCTAGTACATTTTTCACCTCACAGCCTTAAATTTGATAATTCATGGAGTTAAACATTCTCCAGGTTCTTTACTTAAATATCTCCTTCAATAACAAGAAATAATAGCACTTATGCCCTTGATACGGATACTGATACAAGAGAATTGATTTAATATCATGGACATTTGAGAACACGGTGCCTTGTCATGAACTTGGTGTTCTACTGTCTTCACATCTGTCCTGCCGTTTGTTTTTTTTAGTCTCTATCAAAAGTGCAAGGAAGAATCTGGCTTACACTCCAGGAAGTCTTGTCTCATTGGAGTCAGTATCCAGGGTAAGCTCAAAGTAGTGCCACGGGGGCTGGCAGTGCACAGCTCACACAGTTAGGAGCCAGTGCGGACCAACTTACCTCTTGGAAAGAATCGACCAAGTGTTCCGCGCTTCTCTTTCCTCCAGGGCGCAACCCATAGGACCAGTGCTGGCTGGAACAGCCTTCCAAACCCAGACTCAGCAGAACAACAGCAGCTATAAGTTTGGGGGTCATCTCCACTCTAAGGCATATCAAGACACAATCATGACAGCCCCAGCTGAAGTCAGTGAAAACAGAGTGCTTAGCAGAGAGACCAGCATCTGGCCCACTGACCCTACAGAAGCTGCAGGGGGAGTTGTGCGGCTGACATGTATTCCATGCAGGCAGTGAAACACAGGGGCATATGCCTCTCCTGAGCTTCTTAGACATTGGGGACAAACACCTGTACTTCTTCTGGCATCTTCTGCTTTTTTTGTGGCAACGTAGCTCGTTTTTATTTTTGTTTGGCTACCTGGAACCCATAATTCATCCCTTACCAAATTCACTTTGCCTGTACCCTCATTACAAAGCAGTTCTCAACTTTGTCATCCAGGTTAGAACTGGGCCGTCTGCTCTGAAACAGGAGTTCCTCCTCGATGTCTCTGGGAAATAAAAGGTTGCTGGACTTTAAGTGGCTGCCCTGTGGCATTGCTGACGTGTTTCTGACTGTCATCTAATCTCTAAGGCATTACAGCTGGCTGGACCAGCTTCAAGACCAAGAGAGAACTCGATACTGATCTAGATGGAGACACCTAGCTCAGATGCCCCTCTTGCCAACTAAGCCTAGGTTTGGTTGATAAATGTGCCTTAAAATTAAATTCATCAGATGGGGATAACACTAGAAGCAATGTCCAACACTGGGCCACTAGCTGATGGGGTCCTCCAAGGTTGGGTCTCCCCCAAGGCTGGTGGTTGATAAGGTCAATCAGTGAAGGGCAAGGCTTCCTTGGATACTATCACATCTAGACTTTGATCTTTGATCGTCGAGTGCAAAAGACCCTTTAGACATAAACAACAAGCAACATTAAAAATAGTGCTAGGAATACAAAGAATGTTTACCTGTTGGGAAGTGAAAGCCAAAGAGATGCCAAGCTTCCTTTGGTTGGGTTGAATGCTGCGATGTTCCTGTTCTCCTGGCTTCCTTTTTATATGAACTTTTTCTGGGACACTGAAATCTTCCCCCCAGCTGGTGAATGACAAGATGGAGCGCCGCACAGACGATGGCTTTAATAATAACGTTTAAAATCCTCACAAAAAGCCTTTTAATGGCGAATGTAATTGGGACACCTGCTGGTCTATCTGTTACATTTACTTAAACCTGGTCATTAAAATCTTAGCTAAACTTTGACAGCTGCGGTTGCCATTCTACAGGATTAGAATCCAGCTACTTTGTGTGCCCCTGAGGAAACTGGCAGCCCTATGGAGAACTCAAGGAAAATCAATGTCTTGGGTAAGGTGAAGTTAAGCGCGCGCACACACACAAACACATACACGCGCGCGCACACACACACAAACACATACACGCGCGCGCGCAAAAGGGGAAGTTAAGCAATAAATACAGAAAGTTGAGACAGAGTGCCTGGGAGCTAGTCTTGGCATTTGAGTCTCTGTAAAGGGAAAAATTTAAATCAGATAATCATAGTGTTGTTCCCAAGCTAAAAAAAAATAATAAAAATAAAAATCTAATTTTCGACCAGTGAGATGGCTCAGTGGGTAGAGGTTGCTGTCAATCTGATGAAGTGAGTTCAACCCCAGGGTCCCACGGGTGGATGGAATAAGAAAACTGATTCTCTCAAGTGGTCCTCTAACCCCGTGCACATGTGGTGTGGCACATTCATACACACATACAAACACACGACTATAATAAGTTTTCCTGTCTTTACCCTGACTATAGTCGTGGAGCTCAGTTCTCTTGCTTCCTGCCTGTTAATAACTCTGCATCTGAGCAGCATTCACCACATACAGGTTTCGCTGAAGTCACTGAATGAAGAAAGCGCCTTATAACAGGTTTGGCAGACCAGCCTCGGTTTCAGCTTCCACGATATTTTATCTGATATAGGATGAAACCTCTATGTGCAATACATTGTAAAATCTGTTGTGCTACCCAAGCCAAAAAATGCTTTGAAAAAAAAAAAAAACACAGTATTTGATTTTTATACAGCTAAGATTGTCAACATTGCTAGTAGGATGCTAATCCCATCACTCACTGCCCAGTGTTTTCTGAAATCATTTCATTTGCAAGGCTTTCTAGTAGTGAGTATTGGGCCCAAATAAGAACCAGTGGCTTCCCTGGTGATGTCTGCCCTATCCTTATGGCAGGGCAGGGAAGGGGGACTTCAGTGACTATCCTTTCATTTAGACACCTTCACTAACATGCTTCTTTGACACCATGAGGGGGACCTCATCTCATTAAGATATGTAAGTGAGGCGATTTTCCAATAAGAATTTCTGAAGTTTAAACAACTTTGCTTCAAACTGTCCACTGTGTTGTTTGGTTTTTTTTTTTTTTTTGTTAGAGATGTGCTTCTCACTGTCACCCAAGAAAAACAAGAACAGAACTATGTCATTTAGCTAGAATTAGCAGAATGAAACAGACGTGGGAGGCCTGTGGTCAGTGAACCTCGATGTTTCTATATTGATTTTTAAAAATGTAAAACATTTCAAACTGTTTCTGACCATGGCAACACAGACTGAATATATTAGATAAGCCTTGGCCTAAGTACGCTTAGTCTTGTCTCAGGTCACACAGAGCCCAAGGACAGAAACCAAATCTGTCCTACTTTCTACAGCATCAAATAAGCTAGTAGGCCATTATGCAATCAGGGAGATTTTGAGGCTTAGAGACAGACTTTTAGATCTCTCATGATTGCCTGCTTAAGTCAATTTACCAAAGATCTGAAATTGATCAACTGAATTTAAATAATTGGACTTCATAATTGCCACAATTTTCTTTTCTAAACTCAAAAGGACATTTTTTATAGGGGAAAACTACTTCATTTTGAGCATTAAAATAGCTCAAAAATAATCACAACGATTTTTTACCTTCCTAAATGACAGATGAACGACCTCTTTCTTGCCCTAATGTAAAATCTCAGCAGGAAGACTGTGGGGCTAACGAGCTCACACCACTAGGCCAGGCAGTAAAAGGTCTGTGAGTGAAGCCTTGGGGAACATACTTCATCCTGAAATAATATAACCACTTTTCTTTGTACTTTAACACTTTTCATTTTAAAGATACTACTCTCTTGGGGAATTTAATATAATTCTAGAATTTTCATGTATAAAAGATGATGTAAAGTTGATTTGGGGCAGACTTTACGACATAATAACATTCATAAAATGAACTGGAGAAAATAAGTCTTGATTAATAAAGAAAGCCATCATGATAATGACTTTACAACATTTCTTAAGCAAAATCCCTTCAGATGGTTGCTGAGGAACTTGATCATATCAGAGTCTGACACATATTGCCTTAAATAGAGAACTGAATTTTATCAACGGAAATCATTTAACCGATGTAGGCCGAGACCTTTCTGCAGGCCTCCCACAAGGGTCTATTTTAACTTATATAGACACTTGATCATTGCTAGGAATAACACAAGTTTTACTATTTGGAACTCTTCCCTTTCTTAGAAATCTCTCTCCTAGACATCAGGCAGAACCATATTTCTTGCTCAATACAGCAAATGAACAGTGATATTCATCAGCTATAGAGTAATACAAATCACCGGATGTCTTCCTTAGTGTAAAACCAAAGTACTACAGCATGGTAGTCTCTGGAAAGAGGATCGTGAGGCCAAATCCAAGAAGTGAATTTGCTTTAATGGCTTTTCCAACAAAACGCACATCCATTAAGAGCACTATGCAGTTGGCTCCTGCATGGCACCATCACGAATAACCATGGAAATGCAGAAAGCGTTGACTTTCCAAAGCAAGAGTAGACACAGCCTGCCAGCGTTCCACACCGTTTATTAACGCGGTTTACATATGATCTGAACCCTGCAGTTCCCAAGCACACTGTGTTTACATCTTTTTGGCTCCTTCTGCAGTCTCAGGTCTGTCTGCAGAGGACCATTCAGTGAGTGAACACAGTCCATAATTACCGAAAATAGAGTGCAGTGAAATGAGTTAAATATAATTTAGGCACATATTGATTATGAAAATAGGTATCTCTCAATACAATACTTCTCTGTCTTGGTAAAAATAATAACGCAAAGAAAATAATTCATTTTCAAAGTTGCTTTCCTTTCCCTGTAAAGGAGCACTCCCTCCCGCTGTGCATGTGAGCTCTTTACTGGAAGGAAAGCATTGCATATGTAGATAGAAGAATAAGCTACAGAATAATGAAGACATGCCACTCTCCTGGAGGAGACAAGGTCACCTGTGACGATTCACTTGCTCAAGCTGACCAGTCTGGAGGATCTCGAACCCATTTGGACACAGCTTCTATCCCTGCTCTTAGAAAACACATAAGGACACTGGGACACCCACTAAGAAGGCCCTACTGCTGCTGTTGCACAGATAATGACTCAAGAAAACGGGACTAAAATTTCATTTAAAAACAAGACAACAGAAAGTATTTTTTAAAAGGGCCACAGTTACTGACTAATAATGCAGCTTATACCAGCCAAATGTTTAATTTTTATTCATCAATTTTTTGGTGGCTATAATCAAATTATCAGTTTAGAATTTCTTAGCTGCTACTGAAGGGTTTTAGCTGTAATTATATGATGTTGCATTCTCATAGGCAACTCTGCAGAATTTATTCAGACTTTATAGCTCCAACTGCATGGAGTTTAGATTGGATATCTGTTTTAAGCCGGACCTGTATAAACTACTTGGCATTACATGACCTGTGCTGAGGATGCAGCTTGGTGTTTTGGCTCTGAAATATCTTCCTCTGCTTGTGATAACTGAGCACGAGAACTGGAACTAGTGAATGGACAGAGCAGCCTAACGTGGTACAGCATGGGACTTGCCCGTAATGAAGCTGAGGCATGCTCACTGGACAGCTGCAGCAACTGGTGGATCCTTCACTCTGCTCTAGAATGATACACAAGGTCTTTCCTTCCGTCCTGTCTCAAAGTGTGAGAACAGAGTACGGCTCACATTTAGCTCTGGCTTCCTCTTACACAGTAAACATTCTAGAAATGAATCTGAAGAGAGCCATAGGGAGTCTCGCCCTCACCACACGCGCACGATGAGCAGCGTCTCAAGAGGGAGGGCACACTAAAGCTATTTATAAACCTGAAGAACTCTTCAGTTTCCAAGACGTTTAACAATTTAAACACCCTTACTGCATCTAGGTGTTCAATAAATATATTTGCATATATTGTGCTTTTCATAAATTAAAATTCTCAAATGCATCTTAAACCAAGATGGTACTTCCACACAATGCCTATATAAAAGCAAATATAATAGATACTACTCCTGGTCAGACACCAGATAAATGCCCCAGCTCCACTCA